GGTGCAAGGCCACGTCGGATGGCTGGATCCGGAGGCGCCACGCGTGACGCGTCGGGGCCCGAAATCGGGCGTTCGACGGCGAGAGAGAGAGAGAGAGAGAGTCGGTGCGGGAGCCGGATGGGAGGGCGTGATGTTCAGTCTGAGACAATGGGCAATGGCTGCCGGATGTCGAGGTTGAGACTCAAAGTTCAATCCACACCCAAACAAAACCATCGGGCGTAATTAGATGTGGCCAAATCTGGGTCCACATCCCCATCCCCACAGAACCTAAACAAAGGAGGTCAAAAGCTCCAGGATGAACACATGCAACCCTCGCCGCTGTGCCGAGTTGGCCACACCGAAACTGTTCCAAAGCTTAGGTACCGTTGAAGGCTGAAGACTTGGTATCGTCCACCGAAGGGAAGTAGATCGTCCTCAGCGGTTTCCACCAGGTAGAGGTGAAGGCTCATGGGTGCTGAGGCCTCATGCCTTCAGCCTACCCGGAGGGGTAAATCTATGGATCATGATCGGGGGGTGAAATGGAACCTCAGACTCCCCATCAAAGTCCCCATGTGTTTGGGGCTCAGCACCGTGACATCGCACGTTTCGGATCGTTTTGGCTCGTCCATGGATCGACCTCACCAGGGAAGGAGTGTGGTGTAGTTCCAAATCGTCTTGAAGGAGAGGGGAAGCGAAGTCCGGACTTTGGACTTGACCGCGCGCATGATGCAAACAAGGACTTGGAGGAGAGTCCATCAGCCTCAATTGGATTCAATTCGACCATTGAGTCTTTGAGGCCCTTTGAACCCTGTCCTCTCCAAAGATCCAGAGTGAAGCGGTCAAGCCCTATGATCCTGATGGGGGTCGACCTAGCTTTCCAGGTTTGGGCAAATGCCTTTGCTGCTGCTATGGGAGGATTTTAGACGGGAAAGCTGGGAAGACTTCTTGGATTCCGGACCAATATGCTTCAACACACATTCTCGTGTTTTGCTAGGGGTTCGAGCCAAAAGGGCTCTATGCCTTGCTGCCCAGCAGCAGTGCATCACCACTGAATTTGATCGTGTCCCCGCGGTAGGCGTTGATCAAGTCGATCAAAGGCGTAAAGAAGGCCTAAGGCGATATTGTTGCATCCTGGAGATCCCTGAAATGCCTTTCTGCTGGATCCAAAATGCATCAGATTCTTTACACTCTCCTCCATCTCAAATTGCAAGCGTCCTGTGCTGATCAAAGGTATATCAGCAATAGCCGACGGAACCATGTGCACCAAAACATCTTCTCAGACTCAACCCCAAGTCAAACAAATCTCACCTTTGGACGAATGCCTATAGCTGAAAAAATGAGGTGCCCCCAAGTCCCCGACAGGTCAATGGAAAATACGTCAACATACCCAGACCATCCATGTATATTCCATAGTTCCATTCATGAACACCCCGTCATGATATTCTTCATGTATGCTATGTGTTTTTTCATAAGTAGTCCATACATGGATGGTCTAAAATATGGCATGATATGGCAACCTACAATTGCCGAGGGCCACATGATATGGCAACCTCAGACTCTCTCGCTGGCTCGCTGGCTCGCTTCTCTCGCCGGGTCCCCGCACCGTCAAGCACTGCGAGAGCAGCTCGGCGCCTGGACCGGTGCCCAGCGGAGCAGCCCCCCGGAAGTCGCACCACGGAAGCACCACAAAGCACGGCGAAAAGGATGAGAAGCACCACCCCATGCCACCACCCCCGGCAGCCCATCTTAATAACTAAGACCACTCCTTGTTCCGGCGACCGCGAAGGGCGAGGGGCCACTGGGCTCCCAGGCCGTTGCTCTTCTTCGCCAAGGTCTCGGTCAAGGCCGTGAAGCCACTCGCGTCGGAGAAGACGACGCCTGGGCGTCGGGTGAATAGAGGCCGGCCAAAAACACCAGAGAAGTCGGCAGCAGCCGCAGCAGCCTCATCAGCAGCAGCATCCTCATCAGCGGCCTCCTCCTCCTCCTCCTCCTCATCATCATCATCATCATCCAGTTGCACCGGTCCGCTCGGGTGGTCTCCAATCAATCGATCGCTCTGAGCGTGGGGCCACCGGACCCTTTGTGGATTACAATCTGCTTTTCGTCCAACTGACCTTCATAGTAGGCCTCCAGGACGGGTCCGGGTCGGGGTCCGTTCCAGCGAGAGCCATGGGGGAGAAGAACTTGGAGAACCAACCATGAGAAATTCCAACAGACTCCGACCAACTGAACGGCGAGTTTAGAACCAACCAGTGGTTCCGCAACCCCGGTGACTGGTTTAGACCATGTCCAACAGCTTGCGTGACTCCTTTCGACCCGCACGACCACGACCACCGGATCCCTTCGACTCGTCGCTCGCGTTGGCGCGACAACGCGACTCCGACCCCGGATATCTGGGACAGGGCCGGTGGTTGGTGCGCCTGTTGCAGGATGAAGGGCACAAAAGCCAAGGCCCCATTCAGAGTCTGGGTGTTTTGGTCCTGAGTCTTCAAGATGTCTTAGACTTAGACAGCTCAAGCAGCGATGGGGGGCAAGCACCGGCCCATCCTTACGAAACGGACATCAAGCGGGGCAATCCTGAAGATATCGTCGTATTTGATGCTCATTATCATTATATATTACAATATAATGCTCCACGTGATGATTGTACTAAACATTGCGGGCATTCTGCAGAGGTACAAAAGAATTCCCGGTGATTCGCTCTCACAGCTGTCATGCACAATCTCAAACCGGCGGTCGCAACTGCTCCCGAGGCATGTGCATTCAGCCATTTCTTGACGCTGTCATCCAGCTTGTCTACTGTGATGTTGGCAAGCCTTAGAAAGCGAGCCGTCGCAGTTGCATTGAAACTCGTTCGTCCCTTCATGCCAAGCGACACTTCCGCCGTAGAGGGTGGCTCGTCAACTATCTGGCCTGAGGGCAAGTCTTCCAATCTGCGACATCTTCAGTGGATCACCCTAAGTCTACAGACTCAAAACATCTCAGCAAACAAAATCAAGGTAGAAAACCTCGAACTCGACAAAAGTCGGCTAAGGACTCGAGCAAACCGAGTTGCTGATCCTCACTTTTTGGTATCTGAGTCTCACCCCACCAGCCCCTCAATATGATATATGTTTTTCTACCTTGATTATGTTTGCTACAGACTCAAAACATCTCAAAACTACCGTTTTGTTTTTGGAAAATGGTCGTGGGGGCCCTGCCATCCACTTCCATAATTCTTTGGAGTGTAACCTCTCGTCATCCCTAAAAACGAGTTGAGATCTCACTTGCTCTCATCATCTCTTTTTCCTTTCGGTCAAAAAGCTGGTCACCCACCCCCCGTATGTCTCGTGTGTCTCTCGCGCCTGGTAAAAAATCATCTGCCGACATCACTTGACCGCCTGGGCGATAACGCGATGGCGATAACGCTCCGACCGTCCTGGCACCGGGCACCGGTGGGCGACGAAGGAAACGGCCACCGACCGGGGACCGGTGCCTCCGAAGTTCTCCAAAGGCTGCACTGATGGCCTTGAGAAGAATTCATCCAAAGGCCAGGCGATGGGTGTGAAGTTGAGAAGTAGTACGAATCCATTGTATACCAGGTTGACCTATATTTGTTGCTTGTTACATCAATCATTAACTTCAGGACCTTCAGGACATTCCGAATGTCCCTACCAACTCGTTCTCAGAGCTCAGTCCTCAAGGTCCAACTTCTCCCGCTGAGGCCCCGACTCAGTTGAAGGTGGGGATGGCTTTGCACTGATTGGCCTGGAGAGTCGAAAGAACACGTCCCGGTCACGGCCCGCTAAAAGGGGGGGCCCTTCGCCCGCATGCCAGCGCTCTATGCGGGTCGTGGACCACGAGGAAAAACGAACCAAGTCCACCGACTCGTGGCACACCTGGCTGCCGAGCTGGATGCAGCAGCCGTGGTTTGCCACAGCTTGCCCTCCCCACCTGACCGTTTGGGCCGCTCAGCGGATCGGTCCGCCCCAATCCACGTCCGATCCGCAGGTTCACATGCCTGGTGTCCAAAAGCGCGGTCCTCGTCCTGGTACCGTTTCTTCGACCCGTTAATATGTACTGCACCATTCACCATTCGTCCCGGTGCGTTCGACCCATCGGCAGATCTGCTCCATTCTGCCAGGCCACTCTGCCACAGCGGCACGGGAAGGCCTCATCACACGGACACCATGACCCTCTTGGGAAGTTGCTGAGAGGTTGATAGGATGACACTACAAGGAGTGATCACCAACAGCACCATCACCGCCTTCTGCAATTATCTCTTGGGTGATGGTGCTTGTGGTTAGCGCTTTGGTCCTCTACCTTGCCTTCCAGACTTCACTGGGATGACATGGTGAAAGGACACCTACATGTTTCGGGAGCATCAGCGGCTAAGGGATTTCAGCAGAGGAATGGCTTTTGCCTTGAGAACGAGACGAGACCCCTTGCGGAGGTGACGCAACAAAATAGACAGAAATGGGCCTTGCATGGTATGGTTCGCTGTGTTTGTTTCGTTGGCAGAAGTTGTTGTGGTCTTGGATGGGAATGGTGTGTCCTTGAAACAAACCTTCGTCTTTGCATGCATGTTTTTGTAAATGTCGAGACCAAACACCGCTTCATGCAGTCCCAGGCACAGCTTCAGCGGTTGGATCTGGATTGTACAGCCACCATAATTCTTGAGCCAAAAGCCCGGGCAGACATCGGAATGCCCAAGTCTTAAAGAGAAGCAACATGCGCATGTCTTTAAAAAAAAAAAAAAAGAATAATAGATCTCGCTTGCACACAGTGCGCCATGTTCTCACTTGTGCTCCTCAAAGGCATGCGCAAAGAAACGAAGGAAAGCACCCTTCTCATCTCGATGTCGCTGATTTCCAGTAGTCAAAAAGAATATGTACATTCAAAGAGAAAGGAAAGCACACACACACAAGAAAATACATGAAAAATACTCTATATAGAAATACCTTGACTGTCCTTGACTGAAATGGTCTAGACCATGGAAGCACCTCCCCCCTCACCCCTCCCGGACGTCGGACACCGGTCACGCTCCAGCGAGGTCAATCGCATTGCCCAAGACCTGCCCGGACCCAATTGGACTCAATTGGACCTGCTAGGCTTCGGGGATCGTCGCCAACCGAGAGAAGGACTGCAGACCAAACCACAGGCTCCGCCGTGGTGGTTTATATAAGCGGTTAAGCGGCCTTTGTGAAGGGGCCGAAGCATCCAATCTGAGGTCTGACCCGGAGAAGTCCACACATCCTAGACATCCTTGAATGTTTGAATCACGATCCTTTTTGAGCCCTAAAACCGCGGTTTCCTCCACTTCACGACAATCTCCCTCGCCTCTGCGTCTGCCAGACCCCGGCTGGAACGCTGGAGGATGGAGACCAACTCGCGCTCGAACTGCTCCAAAATCCGATCGTTCCCCGCCTGGAAGACTGTCAGCTCGGTAGCTCGAAACCGAGGCTCGGTAGCTCCAAAAAGGAAACATGCACATGGGCTATGAAAAGCTCTGTAGTCCCAGTGAAGATCCGAAATGAATACATGAATTCAACGATCCAGAGCAACTTGCAATTGTACAGTGATGTTATGACCGGATCATTTCCTCTGTTTGGGAGGTGCCAAAGTCATCTAAAACCCCAAGTGTTTGATTCTCCTGGAAATTCTTCTGCAATCCAACTTGCCTCGGCGCTTCCGCTCGTTTCTCCCACGTATCCCGGGCCTCTCCTTCTTCAAAGGCCGTGTCGCTCCAGCTGCGCTTCATCAGAGCAGCACGCTCGATCTGCACGGTGTGTCATGGGGAAGATGGGCTCCATCGCGGGTCCACAGGTGGCGTTCTGGAGTGATTCTCCACGGAACGTTGACCCGGGAGGAAGGCGTTCGCCAAAAGCATGTTCCGAATGTTCCGAAAGATTTGTTTCTCTGTTCAAATGGAGATGCTCACCTATCCAGCTGGACTTTTCAAACCCACTGTGGTTTGCCATGCTCTGCCTGTTTACGTACCGTTCAAAAAATGCGCATGGATGTTCACAATTTGTCAGAGGTGTGTGGCAAAAATCCAAACCTGGTACAAATCAAACGCTGAAACTGGTAGTAACGGAATGATATTGTGAGATGATTTAAAAAAAGAAATGTGTTCAATGCTTTGGAAGAAAAGCACATAATCCGATTGGAGGCCAACTGATCATTGTCCTGTGTCCTGAAGAGTATTGAAAAGGGGTTGCTGTTGTGCAAACGCTGGGATTCACCGCGCCTGTTGTTTGCGGAGCCTGGCCAAAGCCATTTCCATGGATTCCACCGCCTGACACGTTTGTTCAGCTTCATTATTCAAGAAAAGGCTTGCGGCGTGCGTCATGCTCCGCTTCGTTCGTTGTTTGGCATGAAATCTGGCAGCCCAAGTGTTCAAGCATAACAGTGTACCACACAGTTCTTTACCAAGCTGTGCCCCTTCAGAACTCCCTTCTCCCGGAGCGACAAAAAAAGGGCGTCCCCCCACCTCCTTGGGCGCTTCCTCGCGCATCCGCTCGACCAACGCTGCGAACTGCCAAGCCGGCACCGATCACCCGGTCTGCCAACAAAAATGGTCTGAGGCAACCTGTTTACAAAAACGTTTTTCTTTGGGGGGGCGTCTTTGCCCTTCCCCTTCCCTTTTCAGGCCGCTAGTAGCCAGGTAGCTAGTAGCTTAAATAGCTACTACTGACAGGATGCAGGATAGCTCGCACTAATGATTTGGTTCCTAGATGTTTAGGGAAACTTAAGTAATAACTACTAAGATCTTCTGCTCGGGCACCAATTCTCCAGTCTTCACGTCAGTTCAGAGTTCAAGTGGTCCAGCCTCATCCAGTGGGAGCGAAACCGGTGCCGTCGTGTTCTGCGCCTCACAGCCGCTTGGCACCCCAGCATGATCAATGGGCCCAGCCTTGTCAATTGGCGGAAGCTCTAAGAGAAACGTACATCCTGCTGCTGGATGCCCAGAAAGAATCACATCTGCACGAAAAGAAAGAAGTGCTCAAGTATCCAGAAGTACTCCAAGGAAAGCTTTTCGGTTTCTAATCTGAAGGTAGGTTGCGGTGAAGCTTTTTTACTATCGAGCTGGAGAAGCTTTGTACCAGGTTACCAACCGGAACATTGAAGCAAATCCTCCAACTCAGCCCTTCATGCCACCTCTCTGTGGTTCCTTCAGAAGGAAAATAAAACAAACGAATTGAATTCTGTGATTCTCCGCCCCGGAGCATTTGGGTGTGAATTAAAATCGGGAAACCTCATGAGAGCTCCCTATTAGACCTGGAAGAAGGGAAATAGATGAAAATGGACTAAAACCCACTGGGCTAGGGGGTCTCCCTATTAAAATGGTTCACCGGTTGGGACAGAAAAGCGTGCCACACCTGCGCGACGATGCCAGCCACACGAGGGCAAAGGCCTCAGGCGTTCGTCTGAGCGCTTGCCACCGCCCTCAGGCAGCGGGGGCAGTTTCCTTGAAGAAGCGTTAGCAAACCCGCGCCTGTATGTGGGGTAGCTTGAGTAGCTAGAGGCTTACTCCCTTAATTATGTAGGCGCCTACTTGATTAAGTAGGACCGGGCTTAAAAGATCCTAAAAATATATATATATTATATATATATATATATGTCTATGTCTATTGAGTCTTAAATGGTCCATCCTGTCTGGATCTATAGACTATACCTTACACTACTGGCGGGCTTCCACGCCCCATGGATGCTTGAGGTGAGACTTCCCAAAATGTCTGCAGCTCATGTCATTCATCACACACTTACAGGCCCCAAAAACGGTCCGGACAGAAGCCCTCCAAACGCGCCCCAGTCTCCCCCCATCAGCGCCCAGCGGTCGAGCGCAATTCTGTGGCCCCTGGAGCGATTCCCAAGGCTGCCAACGGAAGGTCAGGAGGCCACTGGCCGAACGCCACAAAAACAAAGTTCCACAATGATGTTGATGTAGCAATGTAGAGTGTAGAATGTAGAGTTGGTGTAGAGTTGGTGTAGAGTTGATGTAGAGTTGTTGAAATCGGATGACTTTGGTGGCCATGCTTGACCATCACGCGCCCACCTGCCTCCCGGTGCGGCCAAATGCCGTGAGCCTTTCTGAAAGGGCAGAAGGGTGCAGCAAAATGTGGACTGGAGTTGGATGCCTGTTAGAGATTGTTTGCATTTTCTCTGATTAAGGAGTCGGTTCTGTGCTTGACGACGGATGTGAGGCCTCGACCAATGTATGGATTCAACAGGGGCAATGAGAAACTCCAGGACTGGTCCTGAACTCGACTGGTTTCTTCAAGTAGGTTGGAGGCCATCGCTAGAGGCCATCGCTTCTAGGTGGCTACTCTGTGCTACTCCTTTCCCACCAGTTCTCAAGCAGCGCTCCGGTTCGGTCATGCATGGCCGCCCGTCCGTGCACCCCGCCTGGACACCATGGCCGCCCGCATCCGGGGGGTTTTACGCCATGTGGCTCGCTACATGGGAGCGGATTACATTGAAGGGACACGAAAAAAAAGACAAAGGAACAAGTGCATCGCTACTAGTAACAAGTGCCTTACTAGTAGTAACAAGAAGCTACTCTGAACAAGTGCCTTACTGCTAGTAACAATAAGAATTTAATTAGAATTGTAATTACTAGCAAAGGAATCTCCAAACGATGTCCGCTTGACCTGTTTTGGAGGAGCGCTTGACTCTGTCGAGGTGGCTTTTGTCTGGGGTTGATGTTCTTTGGGGGTTGACATCCCGCAAACCATGGGTTTCCGGTCATGGTTACCAGACTGATCATTGATGATCGTTCGAATCATTCTGCTCTTCAACTGTCACTGACTGATTTGCATAAACCAAACTTCGACTCATCTTTGCTCACCAGCCAATTCTGCAGTGCACACAGGGCATATGCTTCAGCAGCACTGAACTTTACCACCTTGAACAAGGGCCACGACATGCAAAGGTTTGGTCAGACTCTCACACTGTACAGGTTCTGCACAGGATCAAGAGAGAAACAGCGAGAGAGTCTTGCCATGACCCAAGGTGCTACTACGTACGGTAGCTGATCTTTCAATTATATTGTAGTACTATTCTTGTATTTGGCAAACCATTCTCCTTTGCACAGGGTGGACCTTGTTTGATTCCTTTACTTTAAGACACCTCCCTTTTTCCTTTCTCGCAGTGTGGAGTTTGAAAGGCGCAGCAGCCCCATCGCTCGAGCCATTTGGCTGCACCTTGAAAATCGGAGGCTCCCGAACACTCGGGTCTCCTATGGTCTCCTCTCCAAGCTGGCTGCCCAGAGTTTCTGGTCTGGCTAGGGCCGAAGGTGAGGTGAGATCTGGCTGGGAGCTGCAAACCAGTTATATATGACAATTCCTCTCAAAACCACCCCAAATTCTTGAAGGCTCACAGCGCCTTGAACACCTCACCAAAGGATAGTCACTACATCCATTCAGTGAGCGCTGTTTTCTCGCGCACACAGAAAACAGCGTGGCAAAGTGGAGAATTCCAACAATCCCCACTCAGCCAAAGCTTAAAAGTTGAATGTCGACACAACGCGTGGTACCGACGATGCGTTGGTCCTCTCTTGTGACCCTACTCGCGGAAAATTCTCAGTAATAGTAGTTGCCGTAGGTGGCAGCTCCTGAAATCAACAGCTCAACATCAAAGGCATGTAAGCGCTGTCTGCAATGTTGGAACATTTCCCAGACCTTCATCTCTCGGGTGCGCGGACGGCGGAAACGGCGGAAACGTTCTCTGCGATGCAAGCGAGCGGCCGAACATGATGGTCACAGCCGCAGCTTGCGCTTGCTCAATGACAAACCTCGGGAGCCGAAAGCTGCAAAGGAATGCGGCGACGCCGAAACGTAACGGATGTTCCACGGAACGGCCGAAACGTGGCAAAGCTGCCTGTCCTTGAAAAAATGGTCTTTCGTCTTGGGCCACGGACCACAGAACCATGAAAGAGATGTCAAAACCTGCAAGCCTCAGTCCAAAGCTGCTAGACAAGGACGACCGCGTCTCTCAGGTCTCAGACCATCGAAGAGCGGAGATCTCTGGTCGATCTGGGTCGCATCCAAGTCACGGAGGAATGATGCCCCGCAGGGGCGCCAAGACAGGATCGATGATGGAGGACAAGACGCCCTGAATCTTCTGGACGATTTCCTCGTTTCGCGGCCGCAGCCCTGGCCTTCTGCCGCACCGGCCTTCCGCCCCGGCCCTGAAAAAGCTCATCAGATTGGTCCGGTCGAAGGGTGGTAGGCCGCAAAAAGAACAACAAACCGTCCCGCAAACGACGAGCTTTCCTCATGGAATGGTGGCAAGGGTTCTGACCAACTTTCTTTGATTGAAACAGAAGACCGCCAATGGTATGGACATACCATACCGGCCATACCATTGTTCTGACCATTGTTTGGTTGGACATCAAATCCAACTGTATGGTCGGTCTGGCTCCGGTCCATCCTGACTTGACTTCTCCCACCCGCCCAGGTGCATTTCGGAAGTCGATGATGCCGAAGGCGAACAACCAGCCTTGGATCGACACCAAGGAAAGGCTGGTTGAAGGAAAGGTTGACCATCATTGACCATCATCCGACCCAGCAGACCTCTTGTTGAGTAGCTCACAAATGGGTTGTGACTGTGTGCTTGTAGTTGTGTTTCTTTAAAAGAGTAGGTTATGTTGATGATGTTCCGTTTAAGCTGTGCTGATGACCCAGGAACTCATCTTGCATCCCCCTTACCAGCCCGCTCGACGGCTCAACGCCACAGGAACTCATCAAAGCATAGATGCCCAAGGCAGTCTTGAAGAGGTTCAACCCTGGCGCCGGAGTCCGAGCGAAGCCTACACCGGGCACCACATCCATGGGCCAACGCGCCTCGACGCCTCGCCTCACACCTCGACGCTTCGCGCGAGAAGCGCCGTGGGCGAATCACCCGCGCGGAAGGCGCGTCCGCGCGCCTGCGTTGATCAAGCCCAGGGGACCCACGACGGCCATTTCCCATCCCTGAGCTACCTTGGGACGGATGGCACGGAGATGGCTGAGAAGCTGTACCTGCACCTCATAGCGGAGGACCCACAAGTGTCGAAGTGAGCTGAAACCATTTGGCACTGCCGGTTTCTTAGTGCACTGTGCACACCAAGAATGACCATTGCATTGGTACAGGCCAAATCAAAACCCCAAATCACTCAAAACAAGTCACTTCGAGCAGCACTTCCGCAGCACTCCGCTGGCCGTTTTGGAGCACATTCAAATAAAAAGGAACAGCCATGTGCTGGGCACATCCCAGGTGACTTTTCCAAGACCTGAAGCCTTGAAGCGCTGCATGTTCGCCCTGCTACCTTGAAGCCTTGAAGCCTTGGTTTGATGTTTCTTCCCTGACGGCCTGAATCCTTGACTCCCCCAAAGACTTGAAGCCAGTCGTTCAGACACTGATAAAAACTTACCTATTTTGCGGGGTTTTGATGCAGAGTCCCGACGTTTGGTACATGTTCCAGCTTCTTCAAAGTGAGTTTTGGAAGTTCCTAAGTGTACTAAGTGACCTTTTTACAAGCCCAAGCGACCTCAAGACCAGGGGATCAAGTTCAGTGAATTGGAAGAGTTGCGGGTGTCCAACTCTTTCTCCTTGTGTTGGCAGTTGCGGGTGTCTACCTCTTTGCGACATGGCATCTTCGATGCGAAGACAGACACCGTCCGCTCTTCGTTCGAACTGAACCGAACGTCGGGACCCGACCTGCCGCCCCCAGCCGTCCCCTGGGGGGCGACACGCTGGCATCCGGCGCCAAGGCCAACGGAACGAGGCCCGCCAGAGCCAGTGCAGACCTGGGAGGAAAGGGTCCCACACCCATAGGGCGCCAAAGGTGTCAGGGAAACTTAAAGAACCTGAGATTTGGAGATCAAAGACGCCAGGCCAATAAGCTACTAGGAACAAGTGCCTTACTACCTGTAGCAAGAAGCTATTAGCTTATTGTTTCTACTAGCTTCTTGTTACTACTAGTAAGGCACTTGTTACTACTAGCGATGCACTTGTTACTACTAGGAACAAGAATACTGTAACCTGAGATTTGGAGATCAAAGACGCTCTTGATCAAAGACACCTCATTGACCACTGAAGACCCCAAAACCATGCAAAAAGGCGTCTCCAGGCCAAAAGGAGATTCACAGCCAGGCCAGTTGACTACGCGTGCTTGCAAATGTTATAAAACCCCAAACTCTTCGCGCTCTTGTTGAAACATCTGCGCTTGCCTTGCCAAGTGCTTCATGAATGTGATTCGAGACTGCACAGAGACCTTCCTATTGGACCCCTGGTCTCCCTATTAAGACTACACACCCCTACAAGCCCATACATTGATTCGTGGCGCAGCAATCCAAACCTGAAACCGGCGGCAAACTCCATGCAAAGGGCCACATCCAAAGACCCAACGCCCGGCCCAACGCCCAATGAACACCGCTGCTTCGTTCGTTCGTTCGGTGCTTCGTCTCCCTCTTCCCACGACGCTCCAGGACTCTCAAGGCATCCAGGAAGCGTCTTTTGCGCGGCAGGAAGCGTCTGAAGCCTTGAAAAACACTGGACATGCTCCGAAACGTGGACAGCATCGCGTTACAAGCTACTAGTAAAATAGGCATTGCTAGTAGTAGCTAGAAGCTACTAGTAACAAGGGCATCGCTACTAGTAACAAGGGCATTACTACTAGTAACTAGAAGAATCAATCCGTTTCACAGCCTTTGGCACAACGGGCAACCAATGATTTAGGATTCAATCCTGCGAACAAGCTTGAGCTCGTCCGAAGCTGTTAAGTTCACTCGGCAAAGACTTTACAAGAACAGTGCAACTCTTCAACAGGACTCTGGAGCCCACCTGGGTTGGCTGGTCTGGTGTGCAGGAGGAACGAACGCCGAGCACGTCAGGCCTTCCGGGTCATGTGCTACATCCATGAAGCGTTCGGCACCACGAATGGGGCTCCTCCAGTGCTGAAACTGGGAAAAGCCCCTGCCAAGTCGCACTTCGTATGTGATGAGTTGGTGGGAGAAGAGCCGGGGGCCACCGCTCTTCACCGTCTTGAGACCGCCCAAAGCAAAGCTTCCAACTTCGGCAACTCAGAGTTGCAAATGCACCCATCATCATCATCATCATCATCATCATCATCATCATCATCATCATCATC